TAAGTCATCTGGACCTAGGTTCGAGCCTGTGGGTGGTGGCCTGAGTTGTGCAAACCGCACCATTTTGAAGAGTGTGAGAAAGTTGTCTGCAAAGCTGCGGAGAGGGCATAGGGAACCTCCTAGGGACAGCAGGGCCCAAAGCACTTGCAATGACTTTGGAAGAAGCTCTCCCACTCGAGGAGATGGAGGGAGAAGTGGGCTAGGGAGAGGGGCCAGCTGGTAAAGTGGTTGCCGTGCGAACCCGAGTTCCCAAGTTCAGTTTCAAGCATGCACATAAAAACCCACAAAGGCGAAGGACCTGTAACCTCAGAGTGGAGGAGGTAGAGGCAGGTGAATCTCCAGACTCGCTGACCAGCCAGCTCCACCTGAAGGTAATGACCATTCAACCCACACACACAAATCCCTTACCAAACAGTTTTAAGGGAAGAGATTTTTTTTTCTTACTTACATGGGTTCAAGCCAATCTCAGGCCTGAATAAAAACAGATATGCTGTTTTGTTTACTTAGAATATTCCTAACAGATGTGCAGGGACATTAGGGTCCCCTAGGAATGCTGTTTTTGAGAGGCAGTCTGTCTTGTACCGTGGACTGGATTTTTTGTTGTGTGCTAGTGAATTGGGGAAAATAGATCACCTCTACCTTAGCGACCGGATCTGAACATTTCAGATGACAGTGAACTTTGTTTTGTGGTGGTTACCGCTCCAGACATAAAGATAACATAAGTGAATGGTCTTTGAAAGGCAATCTGGGGCACCATATACTTGAATTATCATAATAAAAACTGTTAGTTTTGCAAAATAGATCATCCAGCCTCACAAATAAAAGATGATCTAGGATCTGGGGGAGATGGCCCAGTGCATTGGAGGCCTGCTGCACAAGCATGAAGACCTGAGTTCAAATCCCCAGCACCCATGTGGAAAGGAAATGGTGGCAGGCACCTGTAACACCAGCGCTGTCAGGGGCAGAGACAGGTGGCTGGACATGCTGGCTGTCAGCCTTGTTCCAGGTGCGGGGAGGGATCCTGTCTCAAAAGAGTAATACACGACGACAGGAAAATACCCTCTATCTTTCTCTGTTCTTTAAATATACATGCAAGGGTGTGCACATCTACACAATGGTGAGCTTATACCACACATGTACATCTGTGTACACACACACACACACACACACTGAGAGAAAGGAAAGAGAGACACACAGAGAGACAGAGAGAGAGAGAGACGAAGCTACGATTCTACCATCTCTGGGGAAGGACCATCGTCTGAAGGGTCTTAAATCCTTCAAATGAGGAAGGTCCCTTCACTGCACAGCAATCCCACAATCCACTGGGCCTCTCTGTCTAAAGAGTCCTCTTAATTTCACCCCAGGGCTCATCTACTGTGAGTGCCATCCTGATATCTTTGAGAGGTGGCAGCCCTCCCCCAAATCTTAGTCAATTAAACAAGCTATTGTTTCTGATTAAGATATCACATCCCGGAGAATAATAGCAATTAGAGCTGGAACAGGGACCCCATGGGTCGCGCAGTCCACTTCCCTGCCAGCTCTCGAGGATGTTTTACATTACACCGTAGTTTTATGTGGTTTTCCTGATTTGGTTTTTAAAATCCCAGCACCCGTCACTATTAATTACGTTCTGGCTGGACATCTCCACCACGACTTGATCAACTTAGCATGGCCGATTCTCGCAAACTGACAGGGAATTATGGCCTTCCGCTCATCTCCGATCATCACAGAACATTGGGCAGTTGTCGGGAATGCTTGAGGAGTAAAGGGAGCGGTGTGGGGATGAGGTTTCTCGGGGAATCAGAGGGGCATTTTTGTGTAGGAAAAGGCGTCATCGGAGTTACTGGCTGGTTCCATGGTAGGTCTCTTGTTTTCAGTGGACTGATTGTTAGAAAGCAGGTGACTCTCTGAGGGTAAGGGTTGTTCTAGGCGTTCAGGGAGTGTCATCCGGGAGGAATAAGCTCGCTCAGATTTCTGACGTGGCTCTGAACCACTTCCTCCACTGCGTGGGGGACTGGTGGGGTCTTTGTTGGGGAAAACCGCCCTTGGGAGATTGATGCAAAATGATGCTGATAGCAGAATTGCTGTGGAACACTGCAGCTGTTCATTTCCTTCTCGGTGCTGGCTGCTACGTTACCCAGCTTACAAATAAAGGAACAGAAGCTAGGCAGTGGTGCACACCTTTAATCTTAGCACTTGGGAGGCAGAGGCAGTTGCATTTCTATGAGTTCAAGGCCAGCCTGGTCTATGGAGTGAGTTCCAGGAAAGCCAGTATTACACAGAGAAATCCTATCTCAAAAAAAAAAAAAAAAAAAAAAAGAAGAAGAAGAAAAAAAAAAAAAAAACCAGAAGTCACATGTCACCATGCCAGTGCCACAGACATATAGTAGTCTAATTATGATGAATACGTTATAGATCAAATTTAGCCTATTTAATACATTAAAATAATATATATTAAATTAAAGAGCTAATATGTTGTGAATTCAACCTATATTTAATATATGAATATAATCATTATCTTCTTGCAATAACTACGCAAGTCAAAAAATTGTTCAGTGGGTTGTGTTTATTAAATAAGACGTTCAGCATGTTAACAAAATAAAAGTTTATTTTAAAACTAAACTACTGTAAATATCCAATAATCTGAACCATTTCACTGTTGCTGCTTCCGCTTCAGTGGTGCTGGCTCCGTTTCAGTGCACGCTTTTAAACCAAGACACCAGAAACCCTGTGTCCTCCGGAGGCTGTGGTCTGATGCCCTGGTGAGGCTCCAGCTGCTGGGCGTGGCCTGGACACTTGGCAGACTTTCTCAGTACCACAGTGCTCCTCACACCGGTGGCAAACAAAAGCTTTCATCACGCGCTTGCATTGCTAAAAACATTGCGTAAATCTGCCTCAGAGTTATTCAGAAATAAATATATTTTGCACAATATTACTATCTATGTGTTTGCCACTTCTTAAATGGCATAAACATATACATATATTGTATTTTCATTTTAAAACAATATAGGAACAAAAATAATAGAGTGAACACTTTCTCCTCTCCATCTCTAGCCTATAGCCCAAATCTGGCAAGTTTCCTAGAACTAATTTTTGTACTATTTTGAGAGAGACAACTATAACTTTTTGAGTAAAATAAGTTTTCTGTAATTTTGTATAACAGAGATGGCCCATACATTTTTGTGCTGAGTTTTTTTTCAAAGCATAGAAGAACATTAGTGAGCAAGTGTCCTGGGTAATACACTCCACACATCACACTGTTTTAAGCCCTTTTGATCTATTAATTCACTGGATATTGCCAGCTACCCTGTGAGGCAGGCATGGACATGCTGTTCTCTCACAAAGAGACAGGAACCACAAGAGTCAAGTTGCTGGAGAGATGGCTGAGGCTGGAACTTACACCGTGGGCTTCTTGCAATAGAAGAAACAGCAGTGAATGTTGCTACTTCTAGTGTGTGCAGAATAGCTCACCTCTTCCTAAATTAGTCTCTTACAGTGAACATTTGGACCATTTCTCTTCCCTCCCCCTACTTTAAACACTCAACAGTGGCCCTGCTTGGCTTCACACACTCTGCTTCCAACACTTCAAAACAGAACAACTTGGTGCATTTAAACCTTCTGAGCCAAAAAGCAAAACAAAACAAAAACTAACCAACCCATCAAAAGTCACGCTGGTAGAAGTTGCTTGAGTTTTCCTTTCATTTCAGAAGCCCTTCTTAAAATCCTTAAGTGGAACCTGGGTCTTTCCGAATTCTCCAGCAGGAAGCTGGAGGCCTAGAGCACAGGACCCTCTCCCATCGGAAATCAGTGACAGCATGCTGATGAATTCTGGCTCTGGTGACTCCTGAGTCTGAGAGCAGAGTAACTAAGACCACGGGACATTCTATGCCCTTCGTAGTGCACAGATACATGACCTTCCTTCAGCATGCATAGGGTTTTAACCCTTCTCATAGTTAAATTGATGGTTCCCTCCCGCCTCCAACACACACCAAGGAAGATTTAATTTCTCAGTAAGCCTTAGTCATGTCTTGTGACATTTTGGGTTGTGGTAAGTGAATGGCAGGCCTAGGGCTGTTTGAACAAGAGGGTAGAGACTGACTTTTTCATGGTGCACACAGCGTCTTGGCCTTTTCAGTGAAAGACTACCCAGGGCAAGATGCCTGTAGGTTCGGAACTGAGAAAGGCTCCAACTCAATTATCACGCTCTCTTTGATACTATTAGCAGTTTGCCTATGGCCAAGCACAGACACTCCTACCCCTGGCTTCCCGAAGTTTCCCATGAATGTTCTTTTTTGTTGCATTACACTGTAATTGCTTGAGTTCACAGCTATCCCCATTAAGAAACAGTCTACTGCATGGAGGTTGCTACTGTTCTTGCAGAGGATGGGGCATGGCGGGTCACAATCATCTAACACTCCAGTTCCAGGGAACCCTATGCCCTCTTCTGACCTCAGTGGGAAGCAGACACACAGGGTACATGCCCATGCCTGCAGGCAAAATCCTCATATACGTAAAATAAAATACGTAAATCTTAAACAATAAAATATCTAGACAATAAGGCAAAAAATGGATACTGTAAGAATTCAAACTGGTAAGGAGTTCAGCAGACACTGGACAAGAACCTGGGGAGATAATTCAGTTGGTAGAGGGATTTCATGGAAGCACAGAGACCCTGGTTCAAGCCCCAGAACTCACTTAAAAGCCAGTTAGTTGTGTTAAGGAATGCTTTCAATGCCTGCTCAGGGGTGGAGTGGGGGGAGGAGTCAGAGACCAGTGGGTGGATCCCTGGAGCTCACTCCTCAGATAAGCTAGCCTTAATGGTGATCCCTGCCAGTGAGAGATCTTGCTTCAAAACACCAGGTGGAGGGCTCCTGATGAATGATACTCAAGATTAATTATCATTTGCGCGCTCTCTCTCTCTCTCTCTCTCTCTCTCTCTCTCTCTCTCTCTCTCTCTCTCTCTCCACACCACACATGTAGCTGAGCCATAGACAAAAGCATGGCTTTTGGTTTTTATCTGAAAAGTGAAAGACCATCCAAGGCAGCAGAAGATGAAGAAGACGTTCTCTACAGTGTTTCCTCTTCTGGTATGTCGTCTCTTTGACACACCAATCACCATGCATATACTTCCTGCAGTCTTTCCAGGACACCTGATCTCCGAGCCTCTCGTGTCTTCTGTCTGTACCCTTTCCTTGCTGGCTCTTTCTGCTTCTGCTGATTCTCAGGCATGGCTGCAATGCCAGTCACTCAAGTCATGCCTCAGACCAATGGAATGAGAAACATGGAGGTGGCCATGGTGGGTTTTTCACAAGTTCTCTGGTAAGCGTTGATTCAGATTTCTAAAACATCAAGTCTAACCATTTCTTCTCCGCTTTAAAAATTCCCATTTGCAAGGCCTACAGCCTTTGGTGAATACCGGAGACCTAGAGGAAATGATGCATTTTTAAATTTAGAGTTGTATATATTCTCCTTTGCATGGATTTGCCTAACCTGCTTCATCAGTTAGGAATGCCCCCAGTCTCAGCTACTCAGACATCGTTGATTTGGCCCATGCTCTCCCGCCGCTCCTTTCCTGTGCTCTGCAATCCTTTCCCTTCCACCTCTAATCATCTTAGACTTGCATTTCATGCCCAGCTCACCTATCCTTTCTCGGCGCTCACAGAGACCTGGTGCGCTTTCTCTAGTCTTCGTGGTGACTGTGTTACCACAAATCCCAACATAGAGAGAATCCTGTTGCCTAAGTCTAGATAGACCTGCTTTTCTACCAATACATATACATTTTAACCCAACATTTTTTATTCCACTGTTGGCTGAAAATTCTTGACTTCATCATTTTGATTACTTCCAGATTAAGTCTCAATAGTATTGAGGTTACAGGGTCCATCTTTGCCTTGGCTCTATGATCTTCAGAGAACTAGAATATGATGAGGAAGTTATTCAAGAGCAAGAGAGAAACTTCTAGGACTCAAGCTATCCTTGGGCCCCACTGACCTTCACTGCAGGGAGGAGTTTCCCTCTAGTGCTTGAAGGTCATGGTTTCCAGTCTCCTTCTCACGCCTGGCCTCACTCTATTCTTGATCTGTTTCTTGTGTCTTCGCATAGATCCAGGCTCCCTGGGAGCTTGAGAACACTTGGCCACACTGGTATGACAAGACCTCTGTGCCTCTGTCTGTCCTTAGGGCTCTCTAATCCTTATATAGGGACAGCCCTCAGCACTTACCAGAAGCTGTGTTTCTTGAGTATCATCTTGCAGGAGTGTCGCACAGGGTGTGGGAGGTGGGAGGAAGTGCGTTATATGTCCTCTTGGCAGGGATTTTCCTGAACTTAGCTGGTGACAGCTCTCCCACCCAGCTTCCCTCTTCCAAGGTTGCTACACTCGAGGGACAAAGGGTAAAGCGGTTTCTTGGACAACTGCCCAAGGCTTTGGTTTTGTTCAAAACTTTTTCCCATTACTGTCACAGCTTAAAAATCTCCTTCCTGGATGAGACCAAGGCTGCACAATTATCTCCCTTCCTTTATTTTCTGGCTAAGGTATAAATCACAGCGGTTCTCCAAGTTTTAGCATTGATTGTTAGCATCCAAATATCTCTGCCAGATTTCTGAAAATCAAGCATTTTGGGTTTTCGCTGAATTATCTGTTTTATGTCTGCCATCAGTTGCAAACTGATTCTTGTTTTGTTTTGCTCTTAGCATGCATCTGCCTTCCCCTGGGGAGTGTGCATGGAAGTGACAGACACGCGGTGCATGGCGGGAAACGCGCCGATGCTGCACTATGGCAGGGTCTCCGATGCACGGTAGCATCTATCATTCTGAGTCTTCATTGTCACCTTACCTGTGAGCCGGGAGCCTTTCTGTCATCGTCTCAGGAGAGACCCTTCTGGCGACACTCTTAAGTGCTCAATTTATCAATAAACAAATACTTATTGAGTGCCACTTTGTGTAAGACACTGGGCTGGTTAGTGAGGATTGCATTGATCAATCTAGAGTCAAGACTTTGATGAAGCTTGTGTCTAGCTGGAAAGAGGGTGGGTATCAAATCCCAGCACAAGGAATTTAGCGGTCACTGTCTCTGTGGTTTGCCATTTGTGTCTTCTACTTTTGGAGGTATGTGACACAGGTTCCCCGATTTTCTTCTGGGGTAGAACCCCGTGGACATAAATAAGTAAACATGAAGTAGGAAATGATATCTGAGTAAGAGGCTTTACTCTGTTACCGAGCCACAGAAAACTCCGGAGGAGGTAAGGCCCGTAGGGCAGCTTGTTCAAAACACAAAGTGAAGGTCCGTTTGGCTTGAAGACAGAAAGGGGGAGGTGGGGAGAGAAATGTCTGAATGATGAGCTGGTGAGTGGACAGGAAGCAGACTGGGCATCTTAATGTTCATTAAATAAATCCATGAACAAATGGGCTCCGAGAAAGCGGAGCCTTTGACTTCTGCTCCGAGTGAAGCCTCCCAGTTGCCTAGAATCTGTGGCTGTGGCATACTGATGCTTTCAGTTATGTGTGCTGTAATCGCAAACCAGTGACAGGGCGAAGGAAGAGCTGGTGAAGCTCTCGAGCCCCTCAGGTACAAAATCTCCCTGCTTGCTCTTCTCTAAAGCTACATTGCCACAGCGCTTCCCCACTTCTTCCGTTTGCACCTTCCAGAGAGCCAAGGCATGCTGGGAGTGAGAGGGCATTCCTGTACCCCGTGTCCGGCATCAAAGGACAGCAAGAGATCAGCTGAAGGACAGGGCTGACTTGAGGCCTGGTCAGGAAGGCTTTGACAAACCCTTAGGCCCATCTTATTGGGGAAGAGTTTCTTTGGAGGGACTGTTCCAGGGCGTGGTCCCCTTTTCCCATACTGAATCAAGAAAGCTGTGAATGACTTAATCCAGAGCCTACAAATGCCAAACAGGAGGGTCCGCTTCAGGACCACTGCTCTGAGTCAGTATGCCAGAGATTCGAGGAGAGTCGCGGGCCGTACACAGCGGATTTGATGGCAGGTATCCAATTGGAACAGCAAGGATGCTGCCCTCCCCCTGTTCTTCCATGGCTCTAATAAAAGTCAGATGGGGGAGCTGATCAGATTGCTCTCTTGGCCCAGACCCCCTTTAAATCAAACAGAGGTCTATTTTGGCTCTCTATGTTAAGCAGACCCAGAGACCTGACATTTTGTGTTTATTTGAAATGATAAGCTTAATCATGAACGAAATGTTAAGAGAGATGATGGAACTGGCCACAGTAAGGTCACATCATGTCCCTGCCAAACACAATACAGCTCCTCGCCTCCGCCAGGTTGCCAGGCCCTGCCACAGGGGGCCTGAGGCGCTGGCAAATGGGGACCAGAGTCTGTCTATGTGATAATTAGTCCATGGTGCTCGGCAGAGACTGCCAAATCTGCCATATGGTAGTTTTATGACCTGGACTGCTGTTATCTCTAGAGAAAGCTAACATCATAATCTCATTTCCTCGTTATCTGTGATGAGAACTTGAACCTTCCACAGGGCAAGCATGCAAGGGGCTGAGTGAGCCTCGGATTCCAGAGCCTGAAGATGTTACTGCTGAGCTCCAAGAGAGGAAGTGTCAAGGCTAACAATGGTTGCCCTCAAAGGCGCCCTCGGGGTTTCTAGGAAGCCTGAGTTGTGCGTTATATGGACCCAGACAGGGATGATCTCTGGTGATGTTGCAGCCAGGGTTCAGTCTGTCCTCCTGATGTATGTTTTAGGTCAAGGGGTATGTTTTATGATTTATTTTGTTGTTTTTACTTATGTGTAGTTATGTGTGTCTCTGTGTATATTTGCACATAAGCACAGACGCCCATGGAGTCCAGAGGGTTTGGAGCCCCGGCGCTTGAGTTACGGGTGGTTGTAAGTCACCTGATATGAGTGCGGAGTGAACTTTCAGTCCCCTGGTAGAGCAGCCAATGCTCTTAACAGCTTGGCCATTCCTCTAACCCCCAGCCACGAGGTCTCCATCAGAGTTTTCTGCAGAGCCACATGGAAGGTTTCCAAGGGATCAGATACAGACACTTCAATGAATTCCCAAAAGGACTTCATTAAGAGGGGAGGCTTCGACATGATCCACACTGCCATCCCTAAGAATGGCAGACCATCGTAGTTCGTCAGTGAGCTCCGCTATGGAGGAGAAAGACTGTGGGTGTCTCCTAAGTCCACATCCGGTGTCCCTGCCCACAGTTTATCTCCTGCTGAAGGAGGGGTTTGACAGAAGAGGAGGCCACAACAGTTGGAATGGCCACAGCCTCACAGGTGTAAGAAAAAGCTTACAACCTCAGACACTCTCCAAGTTAATTTCTCTTGTGAGATTTGGGGTGAAGACTGCCCACTGTCTTGTTCCTAATATTTATTTTTCCCTTTCTTCTTTTCTCAGGGCAACCATGAGCGTAGTTAAAGGTCACACTTCACAGTCCTGTGTGTAGCTAGCGGCGGCCATGTGGTGACTTCTGGTTGATAAGATGCTCGTGGCAGTCGGAGGGTCAAGAGAACAGGGCAGCCAGGTACTGAGTTTTTGTTTTATTTTCCCTTTCTCCTGCTTCCAGGCCTTGTTTTAGTTTTCCTGGAATGCTGATCCAGCGACCAGCATTCTAGTAGCCACAGAAGACTTTCAGAAAGAACTTGAAGCTGGAAGCCTCGGTCTAAGGGTGTGAGAGCAAAAATAGGTGAGCTGGGGTTCCTGGAGAGAGGTGGAGCCATCTCGTCCATCAGTCCCCAAATGTCTGTTGGCAGGCTCTGGAGAAATCCATTTCTACGTCATCATTTGTGTTTTTAATTACATATACCTATATTTTATTTATAAGTGATTCGAGTCCTTAAGTCAAATGATAGAAGTAAGTTATTTCAATGTAAGATTATCTTCTCTTTCTTGATGTCTTTTTTAGTTCCAAGAGGTACCCAGGAAGCAGGTGTGGGGTCTGTGTTGTAGCCTTCTGCTTACCGCAGTGCCCTGCAACGGAGCGCCTGGATCTCTGCAGAATGCCTGTATCTCTATCTCTTTCTCATTTTATGTGCATACAAGTTTATCTACTAATGTATTATTTAGATGTATATACAATTGTGCAATACATCTTATCATTTTATGTTGTCATTGCATGATACAAATACACATTTTGAATTTCTAATTCATATCTCCCATAGTCTTTAAAAAAAAATTACGTGCTAAAATTGAGGTCAACTTGTTGCGCAATGAACAGGACACACACCTTTTTTTTTTTAAAAAAAAAAAAAAGGCATGATGTCACAAGCTCTGCTTCCTATGCACACCTGGTGTGACCCACGTTTGGTCAGGGCAGAACATCAGTTGCTGAGTGGTGTACTACGAGTACATCACGTACATGCTGGCCAGCTCACTGGGACAGAATTCTGTCCTGGTGCCAAGAGGGACTGGAGATGGGCTTGGCGCACGAATGAGGTCAGAGTGTCCATAGTCACAGGAGTTCCCAGGCAGGACCACAGCCGGCCCCTCATCCGTCTTGAGCCTAGCAACTCTTATCAGTTGATCTTGTCAGGCTGTTTTCTACAGAAATAGCCTGGTTGTGTGAACCGGATCACATGACTGGCGATGAATCACCCTCATCATCCCTTGGTATTTTGAAAACTGATGAAACGGCCGGTTCTTGGCTCCTTACTTTGTATGCAAATGATGAATTATAGATGGAAGCGAGGAGAAGGCTGTCTCTAGCTTGCTGGCTTGCAGCAAAGTGCATGAGAGGAAGCTCGCTGCCGCTCTTGACTATTTATTGTGACATTGCTGAGAAAGATTCAAACCCCAAAGACTCTGGTCCTCTTGGGACATTGTTAGCCTTCTGCAGGAATTATTAAAATGTACAGAACTGTAGAAGCTGTGCTTTATAATAATTAATCAGGGTCTGTTGATTAATAAAGCTCATATTTTAGTCCCGATGATTCAGGGGATCATCCGAAGGACAGTGTCCTTGTCACTTTGATTAAGAAACCCGACTTCGCAGTGGAGAGGAGAGGAGAGACAGTCGCGCTTCCTCCGTCTCCCCATAAAATAAATATTGAATGAGAATATTAACTCCTTAACCTTGGCAACAATTTGTAATTTTCATAAGGGGGAAAACTCGCATATTCAGCAAATAAATCGCTGTGGGGATTTCAGGAAAACAAATTGGAGGGGATGAAGAATGCGGCCATATGAATTCTGTCACTTTTATGGG